TTTTTTTTTTTTTTTTTTTTTTTTTTAGAAGCACTGGCAGCAGGGCCGGTCCAAGGGTAATTGATGCCCTAGGTGAACTGTGTACCTCGGCGCCCCCACTTCCAACATAGATGAGAATAAGAAGTCTAGAATGAACTTTTACATGTACTTATTTGATATTCAAAATGAACAATAACAACAAACATTTTAGTGAAAGAAATCTGTGTCATGAGCTGCAAGATCATGTAGGAGTAGGGGTTCATTGTTTAGGATCACGTTCCCAGCAGTATGCTCTTGTCATAAGTCTGCTTGAGAGTTGAAAAGGTAGGAGTCACGATTCTAGTGATCTTTCCTCCGAGATCTTTTCAGAGGTCTTTCTCCCTGTACTGAACCAAAGGTCTTACACTAGGGATGGGTAATTATTTCGGGCGGAGGGCCGCTTACTGAGTTTTGACAAGCCATCAAGGGCTGCGTGACAGGCAGCCAGGAGCAGATATTAATTTCCTAATTTTTTTAGGGGCCCCATGGGATGGATAGAATGGCCTGCGGGTCTCATTTTGCCTGCTTCTGTCTTAGGCCAAGGCAGAGCTTTAGCCGACCAGGGCTGTTATTTAAAACAATGTTCCTGTTATTTTGTTCTGCATATAATTCTGGCGCTCCCCAAATTTTGGTGCCCTAGGCAACCGCCTAGTTCACCTAACAGTTGGACCAGCCCTGACTGGAGGGGCTCTCAGGAGGGCTAGAGCATGAATGGAGAGTACTCCTGGTGACTGGGGGGGCATGGCTGCATGGGTGGTGGGGGTGGAGCCTGGTGGTGGTGAGCAGGGAGTTCCCGCAGATGCTGCCGGCCCAGTGGTGGCAGCGAGGGTCCATCAGGGACTGCCTGCAGACACCGCCAGTGGTGCTGGCAACGGCGTGGCAAGCAGCGACTGCCTGCAGGTGCCACCAACAGTGTCAGTGGAGCCTTTTTGTAGGGGGTGCACCACCATGTGCAGGAGGTGCACGTGCATCCCCTACACATCGCCCCTGGGCTAGGGTGTAGCCAGATTAGAGAGTAAGAAACTTTACTTGTTTTGCTCGTCTCCAAACCTACGTTCAGATTTGCATGTACATATTCTTTCTCCTATGTAAAAAAATCCTTTTGCTCTTTTGTTTCTTTACTGATTACCTGCGGAAAAAGGGATTGTTGCGCGAGTGATATTTCAAGCTAGGCCTTTCTACAGAAAGGGGCATCTAAAATTTCTCTCACAACCCACGCAGTGGCCATCTAGTGCTAGCAGAGATTCTCTTACTGCAGCTGCAGGGTTTGGTGTAAGGGCAGTGGAGCTGAGGCTTGCTGGGGTTACAAAGTTATCCCAGAGCAACCTTGGTCTGTTCCTTGAGGCAAGTGGCAGCACAGTGGGAAGAAATTCAAGGCTCTAAGCCCCCCCACAAATGGGTTTGTCATAGTACACACCTACAATTGGACAATTCAGTCCAGTTTGGGAGGACTCAAATTTTCTCATACTGAAAACTCTCCTATAGCAGTATCCATCCACATATGATGTTTGTTACCATTTCCACTTGGCCAGGACACAATGGTTTATTCAAGAAGTCAAGAACCTGGCATCAGTTATTCACCCTGACTGCTGACAGACATGGGAAAAAACTCCAACCCCCCCAATGCGTCACCAAAAGAGGCAGCACATTAGTTCAACACAGCTCCACAGCATCTGTATAGATCAGACACTTCAATGGGGCTTTTTAGCACTTTCATCTAATAGCTGATTCAGTCAGCTATTAGACAAGCGTGCTAAAAAGCCCCACTGAAGCACCCAATCTTACAGATGTTGGGTGAGCTGGGTCAAACTAACGTGATGCCTCCTCTGGGCATGTGCTATATATTTTAATTATGTTTGTAAGCAGTCTCTGTTATTTCTTGGCTGAGCTGCAGCAATGCAATACACCAAGACATTGAACATGCTGTGCTAAAGAAATGCTAATTAGAACGAGAGAGTGCAATGTGTCTTCTGTAACAGACTATCACAAGCATTAAGTTTGGCCCCTGCAGTGTACTCAGTGTTCTTTGGGAAACAAGATTCCAATCCTGATCTTTATGGTGCTCAGTGGCCTGGGTGCTGGATAGCTGAGAGACCAACTAGTGCCTCAGGAATGCTGTCTGTGGACAACTACACTGTTCCTCTGACAAAACAAAACTCTACAAGCCAGTCTGTGTTGGAAGCAGAACGTAAGCAGACCCAGAAAAGACTGCTGAATGAACTCTCAGAAATTAAAAACCACCACAAATCCTTGGAGCAAGGTTTGCAACAAACAGTCTGCTGCTCCAAACACACAACACATTTCTTTGACCTTTCATTTGCTAATATAAATATAGGTGTATGCATTTTCAAAAACCCCCAAAACTATCAAACCACATGTATACTACACATATATACTATGTTAATCATGTTGCTTAATCCTGTCCTGGATTAGGAATCAGCCTGCTCCAAGAACCTGTCTAGAAAAGAACAAACAGAAATAGAGTTTGGGAAAATATCTGAATCCTTGGCTGAGAAAACGGATTACATGCATGCTAAGCCTATAGCAAATCAGATAGTCATTTCACAGAATTGTAGAAAGTTAGGGTTGGAAGCGACCTCAGGAGGTCATCTAGTCCAGTTCCCTGCTCAAAGCAGGACCATCCCCAACTAGATCATCCCAGTCAAAGCTTTGTCTAGCCAGGTCTTAAAAATCTCCAAGGATGGAGAGTCCACAACCTCTCTGGGTAACCTGTTCCAGTGTTTTACTACCCTCCAAGAGGGAAAATTCTTCCTAATATCTAATCTAAACTTCCTGTGCTGCAACTTGAGACTGTTGCTCCTTGTTCTGTCATCTGCCACCACTGAGAACAGTCTAGCCCCATCCTCTTTCAAACACTCCTTCAGGTAGTTCAAGGCTGCTATTAAGGCCCCTCTCAGTCTCCTCTTCTCTAGACTAAATAAGCCCAGTTCCCTCAGTCTTGCATCATAAGTCATGTCCCCCAACCCCCTCCACATTTTTGTTGCTTTCCACTGGACTTTCTCCAATTTGTCCATATCCTTTCCATAGTTGGGGGCCCAAAACTGGACAAAGTACTCCAGATGTGGCCTCACCAGTGCTGAATAGAGGGGAAGAATCACTTACCGTGACCTACTGGCAACACGCCTACCAATGCAACCTAGTATGCCATTAGACTTGGCAACAAGGGCACACTGCTGTCTCATATTCAGCTTATTGTCCACTGAAACTCCCAGGTCCTTTTCTGAAGAGCTGCTGTACTGGTGCATGGGATTTTTCTGTCCTAAGTGCAGGATTTTGCATTAGTCCTTGGTGAATCTCATGAGATTTCTTTTGGCCCAATCCTTCAATTCCTTGAGGTGTCTCTGAAACCTAGCCCTACCCTCCACCATGTCTACTGCTCCCCTCAGCTTGGTGTCATCTGCAAACTTGCTGAGGGTGCACTCAATGCTATTTTCCAGGTTCTTGATGAAGAAATTGAACAAAACCAGCCCCAGAACTGACCCCTGGGACACTCAACTTGATATTGGCTGCCAACTAGACATCAAGCCACTGACTACTACTCTCTGAGCCCAATGCTCCAGCCAGTTTTCTATCCAGCTTACAGCCCATTCATTCAGTCCCTACTTTCTTAGTTTGCTTGCGAGAATGTTGTGGGAGACCCTGTGGTTGCCAGAACCAGAGGGGTTACGATCATGAGCAATAAATATATGCTCTTGGAGACATCCAGGTAATTGTCTAGCAGTTAAGATTAGCTAATGCAAAGCTTGCAAGTTTGCAACCCACAAGTGGAATTTGTCTGTCACAATTTAACCGAAGTGTTGAATCCAACTGTTTGCACTGATCATGGGACTGACTGGGCCCCAAAAATAAGCAAAACTGCAAGATTAACTGATCTAACAGGTTTTTTAAAGGTCAGCCATAACAAGATCTGACCACCTAATATAATTAGCACACTCCAAGGAATCCAAGGAATAAGAAACCAAGGGGTTGAGCTTGGGCAGAGTAATGCTAATTTCAAACCTCAAAGTAATGTGGTGTAAAATCTGCTTATTGGGTGAACCTGAGTTCAGGTGGTAACCTTTCATGATAATTTCTAACATCTTTTAATACCATAGGGTAACATCTATAGGGCAAGATTGTGAGTGGCTCTAAAGCCAACAGATTAGCATAAGATAAGACATAAAGGAACGCGCATGTCAAGTAACCAGTCTGAAAGACAGGACAGAAGGACTATCACTGTACCAAACTTGGACCCTGGACTCCCAGTGTGAGCGAGGACTGGATCCTGACCAAGGGACCTTTCCAGTGACCCCCCAAACAGTGTTGATCGGGGATGCCTGACTTCCCCGGAACAACGGGGCGCGCACCTGGCATAGAGGGGCTGCTGATAAGTTGCCAACCCCGTGTGGGAACTCTTTGTCATTTCTATCTGTTGTTATTATTTACTATTAGCTCTTTATTATTGTACTATTTGTTTGTCCCATTAACCTTTCTGTTAACTGTTGTATGCTAAGCTATAAGTAAATTTGTCTTTACTTCACTCCCAACTCGCCTCCTCGATCCCAAACCCAGCAGCCTAACGTCTGATACACTCACAGCACCTAGCTGGCTTGTGACAGACCCGCATCCACAGAGCCAGTCACCTCATCATAGAAGGCAATCAGGTTGGTCAGGCATGACTTGCCCTTGGTGAATCCATGCTGTTCCAATTCCCCTTGTTCTCCTCCAAGTGCTTATAAATGGATTCCTTGAGGATCTGCTCCATTAGGTTACAGGTTACAAGGGTGGGCGGATGAGAATAGGATGGGATTCAACACAG